CAATCTTTTGCTATGCATCGCTTCAGCTCAGAATGGAACTTTATCTTCACTTGATCTCACCACTGATAACTCTGTTGTTCATTATCCTGTCATTCCCATCCGTTTTCAACCGTTTACTGTTCCCTCTGATGGATTTTCCGGCCTGAGAGGAACAGTTAAAGTAGTCCAACCAAGTCAGCAGAACAATGAGGACGTCATAGAAGACGATGATATTCCAGATGACTTTCACTGGGTACTATTTGGCAATGAAAATAAGAAATCAAAAATTCAACCGAGTCAGTCGAGCAATGTGAACGTCATAGAATACAATGATATTCCAGGTAACTTCCATTGGGTACTATTTGGCAGTAAAAATAAAAAATTGAAAACCGGAACTGATTTTGTCTTAATGTAATCAGATATTCTGTGATTATAGGTGACATTAATAGGTAATATTAATACTAATACTTTTGTTTGAAATACGAAAAAAAACGAATGAACAGAGTCTCGTGATCTGAGTTAATCAAGATACGATATCATAAGTTTGTTTCATGGTACAGATATTTTCATGATCAGTTTTCAAATTGAGTCAATTAATTGCCAAATGAAGTAACAGAAAAACTAATTGCAAACACAAATATCACAACAAATGTCTTTCAGATGTGGAAAAGTATAAGTGTTCACATGTCAACTGTAATGAGACTACACGGAGCAAAACCAAATGTTTAGAACACATTCGAAAACACCATGAACGATTTCCTTATCAATGTAAGCAGCCCAGTAGTGGGGAAGAATTCCGCAATCATTCGTCATCATTTTTTCCCAAAAGGAAGTAGATCAACATAAATTTACATGCGAAAAGTGTGGTTTTTCCTCCAACCATATGAGTTCACTATCCAGGCACAAGAAACAATTCTGCAATGCTTCTCGTGAGTTTCGCAAATTCAGCAAAAATTTTTTAGCATTTTTATCTAACTAAGTGCTCACCGATTTTCTTCAACCGTAACAAAGAATGAAGTAAAAAACAAATAGAAAAAAAAAGAAGACCAAGACGACCCGACTATCGTATAATTTAATACGACCTCGACGAAATACATTTTCC